GTTGGCCACGGCGTCCTTGGCGCCCACCACGGCGTTCACCACAGTTTCGCCGGCCTGCTGGAGGACGCTGCCGGTCTTGTCCTTGCCGGCGACGGCGGACTCCTTGCGTACTGCGCCGCGTCGTATGTCCTGTCTTGCGTGTACTGCGTGGTCTCCGCCGCCTTCTGCCTGGCCGCCTCGGCGGTCTCCGCCGCCTTCTGCTTGGCCATCTCCGTCTTCTCGCCAAGGAAGCTGCCGGTCTGGTCCTTGCTCTCGACGGTGCGGTCCTTGGCGGCCTGCGCGGTCTCGGAGGCCTTGTCCTTGGCTGTCTGCACCGTCCCGGTAGCCTTGTCCTTGGCCGCGCCCATCACCTGCCCAGCCTATAGAAAGATAGAATTGGTATAACTGATGGATTGATTGTATTGCATTGAGGCCTCGGCCGGTATATATAAGAGTACAAGACTTGGGGTGCAAGGCAACCCCGGATACATATGGCAGTCTACGATATGAATATCTACAACTACCAAATATACTCTAACATCCCCCGCAGTCACAGCGGGAGCACCGCAGACGATGAGACTGAAGAAGGAGCCGAAGGCGGGAGCCGACAAACTAACATCCCCCCGGAGTTGGAACGGCGGTGCAGTGCAGACGCTGCGACTGGAGCGAAAAACCGGCGAGTAACTCATGCGGATGGTAGCCCTTTGTGCCGATGTCAAGGAAGCCGAGCTGTAGGGTGAATAGCCGTGGTCGAGGATGCCGTGCGTAGGGTAGCCGTGGTCGACGTAGAGCTGTCAAGGTTGCCGAGGGTAAGGAGCCGCTCAGGAAGCCGCAGGTGCTCGAGGAGGCGCCATGAGGATGGTGGCGCGAAGGGGAAGCCACATAGGACGAAGACGGCGACGCGTCGAGGCAGTCGAAAGGGGGTCGGTGCCGAAGTCGATGCAGTCAGGAGCCGATATGCGAGACATTCTCGGGTTTGCCGGGCCCAAAAAACACCTCGGGGACGATGGCGCGCACCGGTGTTGCCAATACCGGACGTGCGAGGGAGGGGACACACCAGGCGCTGTCGTCTGAGGGACCAGCAGAGGAGGCCTCCAGGACGGTCGCAGGCACACAATGGCGGGGTAGAAGATGCCGATGCAGCCCGCACTTGTCGGAGTAGACGAAGGGAAAGAACAAGACGCTGACGCTGACGACGAGGTGGTGCTGGACGAAGCAAAGAGGTGAACCTGGACGATCTGGTGCAAGGCCTGATGATCCAGATGATGCGGCGGCGGAGCTCGAAGGAGACGACGAAGAACTCGAACAACTTGATGAAGACCACGCGCACAAGGCGCGCACTGACGTAGTCGTAGACGATGTCGAGGACGTAGTCGATGGCGATGAAGATGCAACGGTGGAGAGGACCAAGGAGAACGGCGCTGCAAACGATGCAGCCGCAACCCTCGTGTCGGTGGAGATGCACGCGTACTGAAGACACTCGTCCCAAATCCGTACATGTCGCGACCGTACGCTGGTCAGTTGATCAGACCGACAACGCACATGTGAGACGACGGACGACGATGCTGCGCAGATCGGAGTCATGGCGGAGAAGTCGGGGACGACCGGCTTGGGGACCGTGTTGCTGAGGAGCCTAGCGGCGCTGCGGGTGGTGCCCCGACATGCACCGCACGCCAGCCCGGACGACACGGGTGTTGGAGAAGAACAGCCAGTGATGATGTCGAAGAAGAGGCGTGCGCTCGACGGGCGGTGGGCGACTCAATCTCGATCAGTGATCGAGTAAAAAATCAAAGAAACTACCAAAAAAAAATCAACAGCAACAAATCTTCGTGTAAATCTCCAGGTTGCACGTAGAACAGACCCCTCAGCCTCTTTTCTCTGCCCGCCACCTACCATCAGGAGCCCGTGGTGGGAGACAGAGGAAGATGGCTGGGTGGAGGGACGGCGCCGCCACGGGACTGGACGACGATGAGTGGAGGGCGCCCGCGGAAGCCCTAGCTGGCACCACGGCAGCGCGGGGAAGGATGCGTGCGCCGCAAGGAGACCGCGGCTGCCACCACGGCGGCGCGAATCGGGGTCGTCGTCGACGGCCTCCATGACGGATGATGAGGTACACGTCGATCTGCTGCTGCTGGACGCGAGACGACGACGAATTAACTCGATCCGCCGCAGAGGAGGGCGCTGCCCCCAGCGGAGGTCATAGGAAACCTCTCTGGGGGCGCGCTACGAAGCCGTCGTGAGGGCGCGCTGATTGCGCACCGTGGTGGACGGCCGATGGCGCGAGAAGAACAGGGGTGCGTGAGAAGCAGCGGAAGAATTAGGGTTTGTGGCCAAGGATCCGAACCTAACCTCGTGATACCATATAGAAAGATAGAATTGGTATAACTGATGGATTGATTGTATTGCATTGAGACCTCGGCCGGTATATATAAGAGTACAAGACTTGGGGTGGAAGGCAACCCCGGATACATATGGCAGTCTACGATATGAATATCTACAACTACCAAATATACTCTAACACAGCCTTCTCATGCAATGCAAACAGCACGGTCACATCCCATCTCACACACGGCGCACGCAGCAGCATTTTCTCGGAGACATCCATGGAGAAGACGTACGTACCTGGGTGTGTCCCTTGGCCTCGCCGGCGCGGTAGCTCGCCTGGTCCTGGTTGGATGCCATCTCTCACGTAGGAGTTGTGCTAAACTGGCTCAATCAAACTCACAATAGTGGATCAGCAGTCAGAAAACAGGATAATCTTTAGTAGTATCTCTTGGTTTCGATCGGCTGTGTCTGACTGGCCTAGAGCAGAGCGTGGCGCTTTATATAGGCTGCAGGCTGCAGCTACGGGACACGGGCCGGGGACACGTCGCGCGCCGGAGCACGTCCACGGCCGCCACGTAGAAAGGACACGCGGTGTGACGCTTCCATAGCTTCGCGAAGCTCCATCGCTCACCCATATCACGAGCTGCGTGCGGATGCCGGCGCCGAAGGCCAAGTAGGAGACGAACAGGTACGAGTAAACAAGTGTAGGAGTCTTGTGTTTGATCAACGTGTCCCAGCCTCATTGCATCTCTGTTCCCGAGTTCTGATAGAGCTGTGATAGAACATTATGCGCACATGCGATGATTAGACTACCACAAGTGGAAACTGCCCCACTAAGTATTATATGATGATGACGTGGAAGAGGGGTCACCAGGGACATACTCTGCTCATTTTTCTACGATATAAGTTAGACATGGATGAGCGAGTGCGGGGTGGCAGATTACCGTACGACGGGAACGTGCTGGTGCACGTCGGAGAAGCGACAGGGCGCGGCAGATGTGGCTGCGGAGACCACCGGAGGTGAAGAGGAAGAGTGCAATTGAACCCAGGAAATGTGATATGGTGCGAGAGAGCTGTTTGTTTTTGTTTTCCTATAGGACTCTTCATCATTGTGACGTATTCCCTTTGTCAGTTTTTTGATACTAGTATAGTGTCAAAAAACGTCTTACATTACAGGGCAGAGTAGTATCAACCATTGTCATTAATTATTAAATAGAGTACGTAATATAAGTTAACCACGGTCAAATCATTATCGGATATGAAATAAACACATACGATCAAGTCTGGCTTCTCACTCGGCAACATTTTCAAGAAGAGATAAATGCCCTCGTGTCATCGTCGTCACGTCTCGCCGTTAACAACCTTGATATGAACTTTTATTGTCGGGACCTGTCAAACAAGACCAACACAACAACAGATAGACAACACCTTCAACAAGGTAACGATGCAAATTCATTGTTGCGGTGTCTGGCTAATAAAGCCTAAGACAAGAGTTTTCACTCGGACATGAAGCAGTTTTCCAATCAATATCCGGAAGACGGATCATCCAATAGTTGCATTCGCTGGTACACCACACCATAGCCAAAAGGCACTAGCAAGTTGGTGCGATGTGCTTTGGCCCCTCCAGCCAAGCCAATTCCCAGAAGCTCGCCTTGTTTCCATCTCCAATGTCGACCTAGTAAGCCGATGAAACAAGTCCAAATTGTCCCAATCACATGGGTTTCCGGTGCCAACCCACGTTCTATCCAGCGTCTCCCATTCAAGCCATGGCCATCTAAAGTGAAGTACGCGAGCAAACTTGTCAAGGTGCAGGATCCCAAGGCCACCGAGGTTGAAGGGGGCGGCACACCGACATCCAATTAATTTTGCAGTGGTCACCAGAGACCTTGTCGGAGCTTGCCCACAGAAATGTCTTATGGATCTCGTCGATGGCTTGCAATACCTCCACCGGTATGATGAGTGTGGAGATGTGGTAGATCGTGATGGCAGTGAGGACCGACTTGACCAAGGCAGTGATGCCCTTCGGTGTGCAGTGTTTCCCTTGCCGAGGGGGCAACTTGCTGCCACTTGGTCGAGGAGGCAACTTGCTGCCACTTGGTCCCCAAGATGTTGGAAGTGGATCTGTTTTAGCCGCTTGATTGAAATGTGGAGAAATGTGGACGCGTGGATTGGTTCGTACACTGGTATGGGGCAGCGCAATTAAAATTTGATGGTCCGCTTTGAAGATGCCTTTACTAGTACCATTTTAGACGAAGTTTCTCTTGTACTAGTACCATTTTAGATGAAGTTTCTCCATACAGCAATTTCGGCAATCTTCGGATTGTACTCACCCGGTAAAGTATTTTACTCCCTCGATACAATAATATAAGACGTTTTAAATCACTTTAAAGAGGGAGTCTATACGAAGATTTGTAGATTTGTGGCCCGCAGACGCCAGTGGATCATCCTGGGATAAGGCATGTCTGCTCACTCGGTTCATCAGAACAAAACGAGGGGAGGTGTCAATATCACATTACACAAACTACAGTATACCATGCCACGTGTGTGAGCTTAATTCCAAACTTTATTATTGTTACATCGTACTAGCACTTGAAATGGCAAACACAAAGATACTCCGCCCATGGAAATCATGAAACTGGAACACCAAATACGTGTGTATTGCGAGAAGGAAACGAAAGCAAATCGAGCTCATGCGTCTAGCGGTGATCCTTGACGATCTTCTCTGTGGTGCCGGTGGTGTTGGTGTTGTCTCCGCCCATGCCCAGCGTGTTGGCCACGGCGTCCTTGGCGCCCGCCACGGCGTTCACCACCGTCTCGCCGGCCTGCTGGAGGACGCTGCCGGTCTTGTCCTTGCCGGCGACGGCGGACTCCTTGGCGTACTGCGCCGCGTCGTATGTCCTGTCTTGCGTGTACCGCGCCGTCTCCGCCGCCTTCTGCCCGGCCGCCTCGGCGGTCTCCGCGGCCTTCTGCTTGGCCATCTCCGTCTTCTCGCCGAGGAAGCTGCCGGTCTGGTCCTTGCTCTCGACGGTGCGGTCCTTGGCGGCCTGCGCGGTGTCTGAGGCCTTGTCCTTCGCTGTCTGCGCCGTGCCGGCAGCCCTGTCCTTGGCCGCCTGCGCCGTCTGGGACGCCTTGTCGGTGGCCTCGCCGGCCTTGTGCTTGGTGGCCTCCGTGGCGCCCTGCCCCTGTCCAGAGGAGTGGCCCGCCATAGCCGCGACCCGGTCTTTGGCCTCGTAGGCCTTGTGCTCGGCCGCGCCCATCAACTGCCCAGCCTTCTCCTGCAATGCAAACAGCACGGTCACATCCCATCTCAGACACGGCGCTTGGGCTCGTCGGAGACCGTCGACAGAAGTACGTACCTGGGTGTGGCCCTTGGCCTCGCCGGCGCGGAAGCTGGCCTGGTCCTGGTTGGATGCCATCCCTCACGTAGGAGCAGTGCTAAACTGGCTCAAACGAACTGACAGGAGCGGATCAGCAGTCAGAAAACAAGATAATCTTTAGTATCACTTCGGCTGTAGCTCAACTTGGTTTCGATCGGCTGTGTCTGACGAGAACGTATCCTGTGCACCCAGCGGACTCATGCACCTGGTGCTCCGGTGGAACATGAGCCCTTGGATTAAAAAGAGAGGGACAAGATGCGGTGCAAGGGGGGCTACTGGTACATTTTGCAAAACTGACCTTCGAGTCTAGCTAAATCGAGCGAATCGACCTCACAAACCCAGTCCGTCTATCCCCTTTTCCTCTGTCCCTGTACGACTGCTCCAGGTTGCCGGCTGAGCTACTGGAAAATTTGGGTGAATCCCTCTCTCCCCGTCCCTCTCCTGCTTCTGGCGTTGAAACACGAGTACCCAAGATCGAAATCATGATGTCCGGCGGCGGCTCGCTGTCATTTGCGTCTCTATACCGACGCGGGGCTGTAGCTTTGTGGATATGAGGAGAGAGGGATTCGCCCAATTCTGCCAAATTAGAATCTCTTAAGTGTAGTGTTTTAGATTCCGCACAACTAAGATGTGACGGTTGCTTATTGGCTGACAAATCAAAACGCTATGATACTATGCCAAATGCCGTCAGTTAGGCTGCTTTTGCCTGTCGAGATGGGTGTTCTGCTTTGCCGGGAGATTCAACATTATGTTGTCTGATTGTCTAGGGCTGGTAAATCCGGTTGAAGACGTAGACGACGAAGAGGGCTCCAAATCTTCAGGTTCTTGTGCAACTTCAGAAGCTAAGTAGTGTGCTTTCAGCTTTTGCAATTATCTTTGTAAAACGAGAAGCCAATATGGCAGCTCACGAGACTGCTAATTTTACCTCTCGTGCTAGTCCAGATCATGTCCGGTTGTTTCAGGCTCTGGTTTTTGTGGCACCATGTATTCAGCAAGACTTTAAACGTGCTACAAAAATAGTATGCGACTTTTTTTAGCTCAGATGGGCAGTTGTTGTACAATTTTACATGCATGCTTGTTTTGTTCCAATATGAACGAGATGATGTTCTGGCATGGAATCATCTAAAGAAAATGTGTCAAGAGATCTTCGGTTCAGCTACAAAATAACAACACCACAACTACTTATAAAGTTGTTTTTCTAATACTCACTCCGTCCGAAAATACTTGTCATCAAAATGGATAAAAAAGAGATGTATCTAGAACTAAAATATGTCTAGATACACCCCCTTTTATCCATTTTGAAGACAAGTATTTCCGGACGGAGGGAGTACTTAATAGTACAGAGTTATATCCTGGTCAATTTGTTTTACAGAGTTATAACTTTTGATCTTTCCAACTGACTGAAGAATAAATTACATGAAAATTCTGCATTTTTTCCAAAGACAAAAATGAGTAATCAGGAAACAGATACATAAGCTGATACAAGAGCACAACTTCGATTTTCTCAGGTACAATGCATGGTTTAAAACAGAAGCTCGGTCAGATAGATGAACCGTATAAATGAAGAGGACACATGCCTTCATATGCAGTCTAACATATTTTCTTCATTTACAGCAGAGTAAGACTGCTACTTGAAAAGCAGAATCTACAGATATTCATACAGCTCAAACTTTACATATTCTATTGCAATGTCCATTTGAGATTTCTTGAAATTCAGGCATGAGTAATGTCAGAGTTTTAATCACTTCAATGCTGCAGACCGTCATCCAGTTATAAATTTGCCTGAAAATAAGACAAACATCATTGCAGGTTGTAAGTTATCATCACTCTCGGGCTCATATGTTGACCCCCATGTATGCACAATAATAGCGATTTAGTTCATGAACTGAAGCTCACACATTGGACATACTAATTCTTTTTAGCCTGTTGTAGCTATTTCCAACATTTTCGACCAACCGGATCGTGCCTTAACTATTTGAGAAAAAGAATCTAACAAGCGACAAAATCTACTCCCGTTGCCATAGTTGACCCAATGCTTAGAGCAGCACTTTCCATTGACTCCATGATTACCTGTTTTCCTGCAAATATAATCACAAAAAATCACATTCAGGTTCAAAAGTAGAGAACTAACCTACTAATCCATAGTTGACCCAATGAAGTACAAAGCAGCACACATCCAGATTTTTACCTCAGAGAAAAGCAACAATGTGCATTGCAGAAAGACAAATGAGGAACATTAACAATCAATGCCATGAAAGTTCAATTGGACATTGTAAAGGCCCTTTCCATTTAATATGAGAAAACTTAAGTGGGTCACAAGAACATATAATACATTGCTAGTTCATGTCCAAGAAAATCACAGGAACATCGATAGTAAACCTACTCTTGCCATGTATGGAGGCTCTCAGGTTTCCATTTTTCTCACATACATGTCAAATTGCTTCATATCATGGCAAGAGTACATGATATGAAAATTGTATACAAATGAAGGATCAGAAACATAGATCGCATCATCAATTTTCCACTATCTGCAGTAATTACTGGTAAGAATTTCACCATTATAACTGCATGTCTCGCATCGATTTGGTGCTCACGCTTTTCAATTTCCTAAATGCCAGTGGTTTCAAACAAATTGGGGGAACTGGCGAATTGGAAGATTAAAATATGACTACACGTGGTTGACAAAAAATCAAATTCAGTGCTCATACCTCGGATCCTTGAGCTGTAGAAAGATGATGGGTGGCTCGTAAGCAGCTCCAGCGCCGGGTCGCTATGTAGACGAAATCGCTGTGAGCCGCCGGTGGACCACATGATCTGGATCCAGGGCAGTGGTGCGTTAACGGCGGAAGCCCTGGAAGTCTGACCCTAGCTCAAGCCTGCTGCGATGGTACATGATATGGCAAGGGGACGAACTGGGCTCGGGAAGGTCCATTCACTTGATTTAGATGTACTGCAAGGACTGTTTCGCAAATGTACCATCAGGTCCATGTGCTAACCGGATCATGTCCCTTAGTTTTGCATCGAACGAGCCGTATATCACCGGTGCATCTGGTGCACGAGTTCGCTCGTTTCACCAGATACATTCTCTGTGTCTGACTGGCCTAGAGCGGAGCGGGGGGCGTTTATATAGCCCGCAGCTACAGGACACGTCGCGCGCCGGAGCACGTCCATGCCTGCCACGTATAAAGGACACGCAGTTGGACGCGTCCGTACCTTCGCGAAGCTGGATCGCTCACCCATATCACGAGCTAGCTGCTGATTCGATACACAGCACATGCGGATGCCGGTGCCCAAGGCCAAGTAGGAGTCTTCTGTCTGATCAACGTGTCCCAACCTCATTGCATCTCTATTCTTCAGTTCGATAGAAAATTATGCGCACATGCCATGCTTACATTACCACAGGTGGAAGCTATCCCATTAACTATGGTATGATGACGTAGAAGAGGGGGCACCAGGGACATACTCACTCATTTTTCTACGAGTTAGACATGGAGGAGCGAGCGCCGGGTGGCGGATTACCGTACGATGGCGAAGGCGCTGGTGCACGTCGGAGAAGGCATAGGCGCGGCAAATGTGGCTGCGGAGACCACCATGAAGACCGCAATTGAAGCCAGGAAATAAGATTCCGTGGGCGAAATCGATAAAGCAGATCTCGAGGCGCAACTATTTCACAAACTAAATAATAGTCGAAATAAATTCATCCAGCTAACCCTTTTGTGTACCGTCCGACAAGACAGGTCGGTGCTGCACGGCGCTGAGTAGCGTTTGGCTGACAGGCGCGCTACACATCTGGCCAGTGTGACACCCCAGGCCTCACTCTTGGTTGTGCAGCGCCTAGGTGAAAGGAGTTGCACTACCTTATATTAAAACCATTATACCTTTTAATCCGTGCATCCGGTAAAAACATGCCTTATATGAATGTTGTGCATTTTTCTGTGTTCTACGTAATGGTGGCATTTTCATCTATGTTAGGATCAATTGCTTGGTGAAAACTCTGTTGCAGAAGTGCATTATAATATAACTGACAAAATCTGTTAAAACTTACAAACTTGGCATGATGAAAGCCATTGACCTATAGCTCTTATGCATTTGCATCCTACATGAGTTTTGCACTACATAATGTGTACTTTCACGCCATGCCTATGGTTTCCATGTTAATCATCTTTAACATGTTCATTTCTTGCATCTAAATGACTAACATGATATAAATGAACTTCGGTTACAGAAAGTTGCATCTTGTAAGATCCATAGTAATTAATCCTGACATCATATGAATATGATCTAATTATGAGAAAATTTTATGTCTACTTTAAGTCCATGTCATTTTCATACCCACTAAATATCTGCATCACTATGTTTTGAGACATAAAGTACTTGAGGCAATGTTCTGCCAGATTGACACGTTAATTTCACCAAGTCCCTCGATGTCAACAGAACTTTGCATTTTGTATGTAAGTGTCGAACCCACAAGGAGCAGAAAGGAAGCCACCACAAACCCCGCAACTACACCGTCACTTAACGCAGACACGTACACACACAATCCGGAGTCTGAAAATAGTCTACTTTGTCGGTTGCTAGGGAAACTAGATAAACGGGGTATTTAACTAAACTACTGACAAGAAGATAAAAATAGGAAATAAATGACACTAAGTTAGTAAGGACCGTGCTTGAGTAGTAAAGTGTTCTCTAGGGTTCCGGAATCACCACCATTGAGATGAATTATCGTATCCTTTATTCACCCTTCATGCACATAAGTATGCGGAGCCGGGTACAGAACATGTTCTACTCAACGTAGAGTCCATGTCACGTACACCACTATCGCAACGTCTTCAAACAGGTTACCGCTACGATAATTGAGGATTTTCCCGTGGACGCAACTTCTTGAAGGGTTCTCCATTAATCCCCTCTCAATTGCAACAAGAAGGAATCGAGGCTTTTACTGTCACCTCGAATTACCTCATATCCCCAACCCTCACAATGACAGTAATAAACTCCATGACAACAAGGCAAAAAATGTGAGTGAGCGCTCCTCTCAACAT